TTGAAGAAATTGGTGGTATATATAGAGAACTTTAGCAAAAATAAGTTGTTGGGGCTGAAAAAGAGTCAAAGAGTCATTGGGGGAGAGTGTGGGTGCTGAAATGTATTTTATTTTAAAAAAAAAAAATACAACGAATTTACTGGAGGAAGCGCCGCGTATGCAACCCGTGTGCCAGAGCGCGCTCCTGGCGAGCAATCGCCCCCCTCAAGCGCGTCGCCTCTCCCTCTCCCTGTGGTCCCGCCGGGTTTTGGACTTGTCCTTTTCTGATCCAAAATTGTACCCAAATTCAAGACCAAATGGAAATTTTGGATCTTTGAAACCACACTAAAGTGGTGTTGGTCCAATTTTTTGGAATTTCAGCCAACCACTAAAGTTGGTCTTACTGTTGGATTGGTTATGGAAGAACATTTTAGCTTTTACGGTTGGATTAGTACCTCATAAATAGTTCATTGCAGTGGGAGACCTATAAGGGGTTAGAATCCGAGCATCTTGCCCAGTGGTTTCTCATCTCTAATTTGCATATGACTCTTATCTCTTCTTAGCTGCCACCCAGCAATCATGCACAACCCTCCTTTCCCTCTTTCAAGCTTATGAAGGACTAAGCCACCCCACAATCAGTTTCTCTTTAAAAAAATCAATTGGCGTGTCATTTGCACTGCCATTATCCATTGTGATGGAGATACATCCTTCAAACCCCACTCCATCAATGAATCAGCAATTGCACTACCAATATCGACTCCCTTGTGGCTGGAAATGAGAGAAAGCTAATCACTTTCTTGTGAAGCTTCCAGTCACTCCTAATAAAATATGCAGTTAAGCACAAATAGTTGAAGTTCTGCAAGGATGTCCAACAATCTGTAGTTAAAGAAACCCGACCAGCACAATGATTCTTGAAATAATCTATCAAATTCAGCCTCTCCTCAACAAACAACTTGAAACAATCTTCCCTAATAGCCTTATTCCCAGGAATCCTGAACTATGGGCAAGCAGCAAGACAAAATTCATTGAACCCTACTCTCTCAACATACCTAAAAGGCAGCTCATCCATAATAATCATACGAGCCAATGTAAATCTGACTTTCCCAAGCTTAAACCTCCAATTGGCTAGTGCTAATACTCTTTCATCACTTGTTGGCTGCAAGTTCAACAGCATTTGAGAACCTGATTCCTTCCTCTTTTTCCTCATTGGATCTTTCCCCGGAACCCTCTCAATGAATAGCTCATACTCGTTATAGGCATCTGACCTTGTGTTCCCCAGCACTAGTGGTTCCTGAACCACTTGATCAATAGGAAGAGGAGCAACGACAAGGACTAGAGTCAAAGTCGGAAGAGAACCGGCGGGGATTGGAATCGGAGGAGCAGCGGTGACAAGAGACGAAGGAGGACCAGCAGTGGCGGCAGTTTGAGGAGGATAACGAGTTGCGGAGACAATTGGAGGAGGACCCGCGGTGGCAACGGTCGGAGGAGGAGGACCTGCGCCAGCGACAACACTTCCAATAGATTCACCTCTCTTTTTTCAACCTCTTCTTCGCCTTCGCTGCGATAGGTAAAGGATCATTTGTTGTTGATTTATCTCTCTTCCTCCCACCAGCTCGTTCCATGATTGACGAAGGGTGATGGTCGACAAAGACGACGGTGGATGGTGGGATGGTAGATAGGCGATTTGGCGGTGGAAGGAAAGGAAAGGAAGGTTTTTTTGTCTGCGAGATGTCTCGATGGAAGAAATTGAAGGGCTGCTTTCGCTAGTTACTGCTCGCTGGAATGGGGAGTGGGGAGTGGAGACTTAGGGCTAGGGGTCTAAGGGGGCCGATCTTCGGCTGGGCTTGGGGCCTGAAGGTTGGGCTGGGTATATGGCTATGGGCCATATGATATTTGGCCTTGTGGGCTGGGGAGCGGTTCCTCTTTGGGTCTTTCAATTTTCGGTTTCGGTTTACCCAAAACCAGAAAAACATCCACATGAGGAGCCGAGACCCATTTTTACTATGATATTCCTGTTCATGGGTACCCGAAACCCGTCAATTTCGGTTTAAATTCTGGGTTATCCATAAAACCAACCCCGAACGTCCATCCCTACCTGAGTGGACAACGTGTTAACTTGCACAAATCAGCTGTTTTATTTAGTCGCAACATGGGCATAGGTCAGGCCTTGGAACTAGGGGCATAACTAGATGTGGGAAGCATTGGTGAACAAGATCAATACATGGGTTTCCCCTCAATTATATCTAGATTAAAAGGGAAACCTTCCACTACATGGAAGAGAAACTCATTAAAAACTTCAAGGGTGGAAGCAACAAACCTTGTCCAAAGATGGTAAAGATATTTTAATGAGAACATCTGCTACTAACCTACCAGTTCATGGTATGTCCTGCTTTAAGATCCCTAAAGAAAGTTGTCGATGTTTAAATAGTCATGTTGCCAGATTTTGGTGGGGCTCAGCGGATAATGATGCTCACCCAATACATTGGTTTCCTGGAAAGGCTTAGCCCATAGTAAATTTCACGGGGGTCGGGATTTAGAGACTTTGGGGGATTTAATCATGCGTTTTTAGCAAAGCAGTGTTGGCGGATCTGGAAAAATCCAAATTCTCTCCTAGCTTCAATCTATAGAGGACGATACTTCAACCAAGCATCGTTGTTAGATGCCCCTGTTGGATCAAATCCCTCATAGGGATGGCGCAGCTTATTGTTTAGAAGAGATCTCCTTCTTCAAGGTTTATGATGGCAAGTTGGGGATGGACAAGACATTATAGCTTTCCAGGACAAGTGGGTAGCTTCAGAGAAAATCATTACTCCATTGGTTCACCTCCTGAATCCTACAAATTTCCCAAGAGTCTCTTTCCTTATTAGAGAAGGTAGGGAAGAGTGGCATATCCCAAGACTCTGATATTGTTTTGATCCTAGATCGGTATCCCTTATATGTAAGGCCGCCCTCCCTAGATGCCATCAAAGGGACACAAGAATTTGGCATTTTACCAAAAATGGATCTTATATAGTTAAAACCGGATTCCATCTGGCATTAGAAATCTCTTTAGCCTCGATTCATAAGCACTTTGTCCAAATTATTGACCCTCCTATCTGGAAGAAGACGTGGGTATTCAAGTTCCTCCTAAATTGAAGTTTTTCATATGGCAATGCCCGAAAGTAATTCTACCAACAATAGTAGCACTTAAATCAAGAAGAGTTAATTGTCTGACCTGATGTCCTGTTTGCTGGTGGAGTCGGGAAAGTATTGATACATGTTCTTCAAATGCCCATTGGCCACCAGATTGTGGTCACTTATGGGTCTAAATGATTTCATTGCCTCGACCCGAACTGTGAATTTCCGTCTCTAGTGGTGACATGTTATGCTTTCTGAGCACCCCCCAAACCCATATTCTCCTATACGTATGCGCATTGTGGAGGATCTGGAAGTCTTCGTAATAAGGTGGGTTTTTAGCATTATCAACCACATGCCTAGTCTCTATCTCATCAATGTTTTTTCCAAGTTCGCGAAGTCTCTTCCTTGCTCCCGCCTACGTCAACCCCTCCTCTTCTGCCCCCGTCTTCCCGCCATCCCTCCTGGATTCCTCCTCCTGATGATTTTCTGAAGATCAACTTTGATGTCGTTGTTAGTGATTTTGGTTGCTCGTCTGGCCTGGTTGTTCGTGGGACAAACAGGCATGTGGCATTGGCAGTAGGGTCCCAGCATCCTGGCATTGCTGATCCTTACCTCGCTGAACTTCTTGCAGCACAAGATGTCATTTCCCTCATGGTCTGCAAGTCCCTACCTCGCGTCATTATCGAAGGTGATTCATAAGTAATGATTCGTCAGCTTCGACAGGGTGTATCTTCATACTCCCTCGGAGGACCTATGCTTCGTGATTGTCTTCATCTTCTGTCTTCAATTTGTATCTCTTTAGAGTTTAGGGAAGTTCTTAGAACTACAAATGGGGCTGCCCATATAGTGGCGCAAAAAGCTCTGTTACTTTCTCCTCTTGAGTTAAGTTCCTTCGACTTTGTAGGGTGGCTTCACTGAGGTGGTGCTATGGGAGGGATCCTGGGTAGATTGTATTTAGTAAATACTCTTTTTAATACACGTATATGTACACGTACGTATTTTATCCGTTTAAAACTTCTGTATCCGTATTATTGTCAAGTCGTTTCATTTTTTCCGTTCATTTGATTGTTCCCGTACTAAACACGTATAAAACCCGTATAACACGTTTAATATCCGTATTTAATTAATTAAATGGTTAACTTTATTATTATTTTTATATTAATTTATGGGGTCAGACTCGTGTGCTCCTGGAACATACTATGCTCCATGTACTAATAGTGAGATATCTCTATCTAGACCATGAATTAAATCGAGTTTGAGGTATGATACTACCCTAAACTCAAATGGATAAACCCCAGGCCCCGATTTTATAATCTCAAATCCAAAGTTCAATTTAAGAGAAAAGAAGAGTTGACCGTTGAGATTTGTCGGGGCTAACCCATTTACTATGCTCCTAGAGCATACCAGTCGTCTCCATTTATTTATATTTAAAAATAATTATTTTTATATGTTTATGACTATTAACATACTATTAAACGTAACATTAAATTAAAGACGAAGTAAAATACCCGTACATATTTTATACGTAACTTTTCCGTACCATATTTTACTAACTCTATAGATTCTTTTCTTCTATTGTCATTACTTGGAGAGAAAAAAAATAGTTCATTGCAATGATGAGAAAACCAATCTGTATTATCGGCGTGGAGTGCACTCTGGATAACTTGATATACAAGTTGCCTTCAGTATTGTTCAGGTTGGTTGATCAGATTACGAATCGATTGACTTTCTTGTTGGTCTAGTATAGATTCACTACTCTGTTCCAATTGGGACATAGACCAATCAGAGTTGCGGGTAAATTGGATCATTGGTTAACTGGCATCACATGTTAGCATCGTGGTGGGTCTCAATTACACATCAATGGACTCGAGCAGGTTTAAGTAGTTATATCATGTTCCAATAAAGCTATGAATGGATCGAGTTAATCAATTTGATTCCAGCCAGATGACTGATCATCAACATTTTGGCCAACCTGAAGACATGAACTTCTGGTCAACTCAAATTACAGGTGAATCGTGCCTGAAAGAATTGGACGAACTTCCTTCATTCCTGAAAGATTATTTATGAACACCCACATCCCATAACAAAATTATGCCATCGACATCATAGGCAACCCGCAACGCTAACACACAAAAGCATCATATGATCATAAACTTGTTGCGGAAATCAATCAGATCATATACTACATCTTCAGACCTTTGGAGGAGGGGGTGAAACTATGATGAATGCCTTCGTCCGATTGACTACAGGTGGAGGTGGTGCTCTGGTCGGCAAACTCGTCCTTAAGCTCCGGAAGGCCACTGAGTCACTCCTGCCTGGAATCTCAGTATCTCCCCCATTTTCAGACTTCTTACCACCATTTGCGTCTCTCCAGTTCTGAATTTGCAGTAGAGTCTCTTTATAACCTGCAGAGATTCAAAATTACACATCAAACACACAGCTCGCACCTTTCACCATACTGACCCCAGAAATTAATATTCTGAGGCGTTTACCACAGTTCGAAAAGAAAGTCAACTTAGAGAAAGCAAAACGAAATCTGGGAATGGATTAGCATGTATGATAATTACCATAAGGACGCAAGGCAGAGGATGAAGGAATATCAGCAGCAAGAAGATGCAGCACTAGCAGCAACGCGATTGCAGCCAACTTTCTTGTCATCATGGGAAAAACCAGCAAGCTGAAGGAATTCAAGGATACAAGCAGAGATACAAACTAAAAGAACTTGCTGCAAATGGTGTATATATACAGTTTGTACATGACTACATGTCTAAGTGCGATGATTAAGAATCATTTTCCTCATAAAACAACATTGTGCAAGGTACTTAGCATTAACTAAACTATCATATTCATCTAGTTGTCCATTAGGTCATGCAGGAAAAAAGAATTCACGAGTTGCTTGGGATTGGCCTTTGGAAGGTACCCCTCGAATAGAATGCCAATATAACACAACCCCTCCATCGCTAGATTTGCTTTATTGAATCAAAAGTCAACCAATTCATAAGAGTATTCGATGACAGAAACCTACTTTCTATCTACTATTTGTTCCAATGTCAACTGTTCTTGTCAAGTTGGGGGGAAAAGAACATGTACTAGTTGCATAACTTGCATCCACCACCCTTAAAAAATCTAAACCAACAGGCAACAGGTAGTTTCCAAGAATTCCATCTGCTGCAACCTTACAGGTTACAGCATTTACAGCTAACAAGCAGCAAGAAACTTCAATTAATCAACAACCTAGTGCAATGTTCTTTCTTTCAGGGGAAGACACGAACAAAAGAAGTCATTAAGTCGAATACCAAAAGAAATGCCGTGCTGCCCTTCCTTCACGAACCCACATGCTACAATGGCACCCACATGTCAACGTAATGCCTCAGAGCTTTATGAGGAATGGCCGTCTTCCACGCTTTGCGATCGGGCAACGGACCAGTGAGAGCCAGGGTGCTATCTTCAGAGGAGCGTTTCCCAAGCTTCAAAACATGAAGCTGATCGCCGAAAACCGTGCGCATTGCAGCCAAAGTCTGTTCCATTACAACCTTCCCATCCCGCCGTTTGTTCTCTGCCTCCACACAACTGCCCCCAACGTTCACCATCACTCTCCCGCATTTCGTCAAACGCCTTCTGAGCATCTCCCACGTGTTAGGATCCTGAAGCTCCGGTATCAGACTGCCCTTGGAGAACAAGTCCACGAAAATCCCAGAGTACCCATCTTTCACCGCCGCCGTTAGAGCATTCCCGATGTAGATGAACAGCCGGTCTTTGTACTGGGATTCGAGCTTGTGGAGTCCGAAGAACTCTCTCCCAACGTCAATCACAGACGGGTCGAGCTCCCACCCGTGAACAATCACATCCGGGTACAACTCGAGAACCAATCGGGCCGTCGAGCCCGCACCGAACCCGAGAATTGCGACCGGCCCGGATGCGGGGAGAATCGGCGGCAGGGTGGCGAAAACGTCGAAGTAAGTGTCGGTGAGGGACTTGACGAGGAAGGAGATGCTGTGGATGTTGCCCGGAGCGTCGAGGAGGAGGAGGCGAGAGCCAGCGAGGGGGTGGTCTGTGGCTCTTCTGGAGACCTCGAGGACGCGGATGTAGTTGTGCCTGGACTTGAATCGAGCGATGATTTTTATGTCTTCCATGGGGATTCCGCCGTCGTCGTCATCGGACTCGATTTGGGTTTGGGTTCTGGGGTTGGTTTTGCGGTTTGAGAGTTGGGTTTTTTCGGATTTGGCGGTTATTTTCAGAGGTTTCCGTGGTAGGGAATAGCGATTGGAATTGAAGGGCTGTGGAGCATCGTGGCGGGAAAATCGAATTGGGGAAACCATTGCCGGCGGGGGGGAGAAGAGGGAGGCTCTGGTAACGGCCATGTTTTCCTTCCCGAGCTTCTGCGATTTAGTGCTGGCGCGCCCGTTCTCCTCCGCCACCATTCATTTTAAGATGGCCGACGACCCTAGACGGCGCTAGAGCAGAGAAACTGTGTGTCAAAACGGCATGCCGTTTCATACGCTTTGTGTCGTTTCCCTGTATCCTGGATCGAACGAATTGACAGATATTGGAAGTGTGAATTATCTGCATAACCAAATTGAAACTTTCTACAAGTTTTGGTACTAAATTTATCAACAGAAAAAGAACCGGCGCTTGTCGTTAGCTTTTTCTCACCGGAGCAATATTTAACTTTCAAGCAGCAGCAGTATTACTGATATAGTGATACATGGACCAGTACAAACCAGAAAGTCGGTTTACAAAAAGCAGAACTAGGAGAAACCACTCACACAAAAGCTGGCTTATTCTCTACAAATCTCAGCACTAGTTTTACATAAACCCAGCCCTTCCATATGACCTGCACTACCAGAAGCACAATGGGAGTTAATGAACCCTCTAGCTCTAGCTCCCTCGATAGGTAGAGAACGAGAATGGCGAAACGAGCAAAGGAACATGGAAGTGCTCCAACTTCTGTGACTCCCTGATCTCAAACACAATAGACACATAGGGGAAGAACCCAGATGGATTGTACTCCCCCGTGTTGAAACTTATTCTGTATATTCCAGGTTTGACCGCATCAACTATGCTCGTCAGTTGCCCAGACCTACCATCGGTGTTGGTCTTCGAGGATCCCTGATACACCCAGCCGCCTACATCTCCTCTCCCGCCAAATGATGGACGAGGTTGAGCACCGTGCCACATTTCCAATAGCACCTCAACTCCAGCAGCTGGAGACCCTCTTGAAACATCCAATATATGTGTTGTAATTGGTGGACGAGTTCGAGTTGGTACTTCTTGAGAAGGCTTTCCAGATGAAGCTTCGGGAGTCGGAGTAAAATGCCCTCCAATGATGCTCACACGGTCTTCTAGATCCCCAAGAAAGAACAATAAATAGTGAGCAGATGAAAACTGAAGCCATGTGAATTCTTAACTACACTTACAAAACTACCAAGAAGAACACACTAGCAAGAAGCAAATGCTAAAACCAGAAATAAGCCCCATAACATCAACAAAATCAACATCGTTATTGACCATTGTACCCATAAAACGATGGAATGTTTGATCACCTGTTGCAGCAGATCTTGTTGCGGTGGCGAAGAGCTTTGCAAGTCGTAGTTCTGTTACTTTCATTTGCTCTTGCGCCGCAATCTCAAACTCAACTATAGGCCGGTTTTCATAACGTTTCTACAAGTATAAATCAAGTAACAGCTCGCATCATGTCACAACTTGCACAAAGCCATCACTATAACTTAACTGCCGATAAACAAATAAGAAATTCAAGGAAACAGCGTAGATGAATAGATAGCTATTTGTTTCAGTTACTAGTTGATGTTAACCAACTAGATACTACTAAGGTAGATTGTGGTTGCACCGACCCACAATGAATCGATAAGACAAGCAGGCAAGGTGAAATTAGTGCAGCAGATTTAGTAAACATATGTAAATCCAGAATAAGTTTTACCTTCAGCTCCACAAGTATTTCACCAGAACTACGCCCAGATGCAAATATAAGAAAAATGAACCCAAATTTTTGCCTGTACCGAGCATTCCAATCAGCTAGTTCCTACAAAAGAATCCCATTTCTAGTTTCAAGAAACCCTAATTGGGAGAAAGGGGGAAACAAAGTTTGGACCAAAATGTTGCAGACCTGCAAGATGGAAGTAGATGCAGTGGATATCGCTGTTGATTGCTCTCCCTTACTCCATCTGAAACGCCGGCGCAAGGGAATCAGAAGACAATTCAAGGAAATGAAACAAAATCGAAGCCTAAAAGGAATAGGAACGGAACTCAGAAGCGGCATGAGAAGCGGCAGCGGGGGCGGAGGACTGGCCAATCTGAGGATGAGCGGCGAAAGCTTCGAGCCAACCATTAACATCTACCTTTTTATTCCTCAAAATCAACGGTTTGTACCCAATCAGAATGATTTTCCAGTGACGAATCAGCAGAGACAGGAAAATGAAAGAATCGAAAGAGGGAAAGGAAAAAGGATGGAAACCTTGTTGAACCAGATATCTCTGGCTGCAGAAACAGCCTGATCGAGCGAGGAGAAGGGCGACGCGGACGCCATTTCCTTGGCGAATTTAGTGCTGCCGCAACATGCTAACCAATCCTTCTCCTCGAAATTCAATGTCGCCTCCATTTTGGCTGAGCTTAATCTCCTTTTGCTTCTCTGCAGGCTTCCTTTCTGTTTCTCCTCCTCCCGCCCGATCCACTGGTCTTAGCTGAGATTTCCAGTCGCGAGCTCCCTGAAGATGGTCGGACTTGACTCGTGTAGTCCTGCGGATGGCTATTACAAATTCAGTCACTCAGTTTATATTGGCTTCTCACGTTTGTCACCCAAACACAGTTTATTTCTTATTAATCACTCACTTTAAATTTCATTTCATCATTGATCGAATGACCGTCCACTTGCATTAAATTCGTCTTAGTTTGCAGTCAACTATAACCTTTGCAGTTAGAAGCGACGTCACTGTCTCCCGGTTGCTGTCGTCGAGATCAGACCCCAATTGTGCAGCGTCCAGTCCCGGCATCCTTTTCAGCATTTTCCTCTGACTGTCCAACCTCGTTACCCCTGGCTGCCCACTATAGATCAGTTTTGAAGATGACGCCAAGAATTGGAGGGAGTAAACGGCAGTTTCAGGCGGGAACCATCGGCTAGTGCCTTGAGTGGGCAGTCGACAGCGGTATATAATCCGGGGATTAGCTCTCCTATCTTCCTGTCCATTCCAGCTTTTCCCCAAATCGTGATCCCTGATTCCGGGAGATATCCCCAAATCCCCGCCCGCAATCACCGTCCCTATATTTCACCCAGGTAAGGAAATCTTACAAGCCGCCGGAATCTTCTCCTCGGTCCAGATCCTCCGGTCAATCTCCGTCTTCGAGAAAATCGGTAGCCGATCACGATGGATGCCCGGTGAACCGTTATACCCATTAATGATATTAATGGCAATTAGTTCGCTGGTCATTACCCCCATTATTGGAGGTTTCAAGGCTGCCTTTAAGCCTGTAAAGCGTACCTTTAGGGGCGCAAATGGGGTAATCTTTAGCCCAAATCGAGATTCAATTGAGCATGAATCATTAAATGGCTATTATGGAGTCACGGGCTCGGCCATAACCCCTAGAAACGGCCCGATAATTGAAATTGGCTTTAAATCTCTATTAATTGCAAATCAGCCCAAGCCCGTTAATGGAGTCTTTAAATTGGGCCAAGTTGTTAAAGCCTGCTTGCTTCCATCTTCAAATACAGAGACATTTCAAAGCAGCCAAGAAACGTTCTTCCCTTCCCAATTATCAGGCGTCCGAAACACTTCCCCTGTTTCACTCCTTGAAAAAACAGAGCTCTCTCCACTCCCTCCTCTCATCACAATGGCAGGGCCAGTCGAATTCAATGATGAAGTGCTGGAAGCAGGCCAAAACAGGGCTTGCCTGAGCTTGATTGGGCGCCTGCTATGCTCGTCTCATCCATCCAGGTCCCGAGTCCAACACACTGCCAACAATTTGTGGGCAAAGAGGGCGCCGGTCACCGTCTTGGATGCAGATCATGGTCTGTTCCAACTCGTCTTCTCCAACGCAATTGATCGACAGGAGGCCTTGGGGAAAGCCCCATGGTTCCTTCACTCAAAGATCCTCACTCTAAAAAAGTGGGAAACGCCATCAGAAAGTGTCTTCCTGGAATTAGCTCGGGTTCCTTACCTCATCCAGTTCTGGAATTTGCCTGAAGAATACAGAACAGTAGCTCTTGGAAGGTTGCTAGCATCTCGTTTGGGGTCAGTCATTGATGCTGGGATGTTCGCGGTCTGGGAAAATCCGGGCTGTGTGTTCAAAGCCAGGGTGCTGATTGATGTTTCTTCCCCCTTGCAACATCGCTTAGAAGCCAGAAAGAGGAATGCAGATGGAACGCTAGGGGATCCTTTCTGGGTCTCTCTTAAATTTGAAAACATCAAATCAGTATGCTTCAGGTGCCGGAGAATAGGCCACAGTCAAAGCTTCTGCTCCTTTGAACCGGTAACAGGAGATGATGGTTTCGGTCCAGAGATCATCGGAAATCGAACTGGCCCGAAGCTGAACGAAAACTCCTATGCAACGGTGCGCAAAGGTGGACGAACCTGGGGAGGCAATGTCTGGCGTCACGGGCCCCGACCTACCCCGCAGTCACGTACCAGCACCCTCCTTCTTGAAGCTCCATCCCGCAATGGTGGTGAGTTCAGCGGCGGCGGGAGGCAAAATCCGCCTCGGCCATTCAGGCGCGGTAGAAGAGAGGAGGTCCGAAATATGGCCCGCGTTGGTAGCGGGGCTGAGCCCACTGAAGATGGGCCAAAGAATGACTGGGCCTGCCCAACAGTTGAAGCCACAGGCAGCAGATCGGCCCACCTGGCGGCTGAGGCTACCCTCGGCATCCAAGCCCAAGTAGTTGAGCCCATTGTTTCCAAGGCCTTGTCCGCCCAACCTTTGGTGCTGGAGCCCATTCCGATCCAAGTCCGAGCTCCATCTCCATCTTATGGGTTAGGTAACTTATATTGCAGTGAAGATCCTGGGTTTTTATTTGACGATTTTGAAGATAATCACTTACTTGGATTGCAAGACGTAGGGATGGATTTCTTTGATAACGAAGATATGGATCACTCTACAGATACAGCCTTTTCTTGCTCCCCGTTAGGGTGCGTGGCGGATGGGAAATCAAAAGGGAAGGCAATCTTGATTGAGTCGTCGGATTCCCCAAGAGTGTACGTTCGAAGAAATACCGGAATCTGCATCCAAGAACCGGAAGAAGGAGTGGTTAACTTCACTCCAAAAAGTCCGGGAGAAGATAAAAACAAAGGAAAAAGGGTGGAGGTAGCCAGCCCCAAGTGGCCCCAACAAGCTGAATGAATGTCTACGCGTGGAATTGTCAAGGGGTGGGGAGTACCTTGACATTCCAAACGCTAAAAGCTCACCGAAATTTGTCAAAGTCCTTCTTATTTCTTTGTGAAACAATGTCTCCTAGAGATAAAGTGGAATCTTTCATGTCAAGATTAGGTTTCTCAGATTGTTTTCCGGTCAACCCTGCCGGCCTGTCGGGGGGTTTAGTATTTGGGTGGCCACGAGGTACTTCGGTGTCGGTTATTGGCTCAACCCCCTTTTTCATTGCCATTTCAGTTATCAATAATAACTCCCATTGCTACGGTGCTTGTCCTCGCTTTGTGCTAGTAGGAGTTTACCTTTCATACATAATCACGATTCGTTGCTCACAACTCGAGGAGCTTAATGGATTCTGTTCAAGGTTGTCAGATCCCTTTCTAATAGTTGGAGATGTCAATTGCTCATTATCCCCGGTTGAGAAAATCAGGTGGAGCTCCATGGCGAATGGACAAAGCCCGACCCCTTTGGGATTTTCTAAATACTCTGGGTCTACTAGAAGTGAGATTTCAGGGTCCAAAATTTACTTGGACTAACCGGGGTAGAAATGGTATCCTAATAGAGCAACAAATAGATAGAGCTTTCGTCTCCACAAGTTGGGCGTTCCACTGGCCAAACTCCTGCCTATATCACCTATCAGATAAAGGATCAGATCATAGACTCCTATGCCTCATGACAACCCCGGAAATGTCTAGAGCTAAACGTCTATTCCACTTTGACATTAGGTGGACTAGAATTCATGAAGCTAAACTCATAATAGACTTTGTTTGGAATACACCCATTTCTGGGTCCCTACAGTTTTGTCTATTTTACAAACTACTTAGAGTTCGTCACGCCCTAGTCGATTGGTGCAAAGGGGGTACCTCTAACTCAGCCAGACTAATAAGGGACCTCAATTCAGCTCTTGTCAATGCACGGGATAGTAGCATAGTGAACTGGAACCTGGTCCATTCTCTAGAAGAAAGACTAGAGGCTCAGTATAGAATGGAGGAAATCTATTGGAGACAAAAGTCGCGCGTCAGCTGGTTAACGGAAGGGGATCGCAACACCCCATACTTTCATATGATAACGGCAATCAGACGTCAGGCCAATTTCATCTGGGGTTTGGAGGACTCTAGGGGTGTATGGTGTACAGACGGAGACCGGAAAATAAGCATAGCAGTTGAATTTTATCAAACATTGTTTCGGTCTCAGCTTACTGAAGGTATCAATCTAGCTAACCTGCCATTTGAACGCTTTGTCTCTGAAGATCAAAATCAAGCTCTTATAGGTCGAGTCACACCAGAAGAGGTTAAAGAAGTAGTCTTCAGTATGGGGAAAACCCAAGCCCCTGGACCAGATGGATTCACAGCTGGGTTCTTCCAAGCGTACTGGGACATAGTTGGCAACGATGTCACTCAAGCAGTCCTAGCTTTCTTTTACTCTGGTCATCTTTTACGGTCTATTAATAGGACTTGGATCTCTCTTGTCCCAAAAGCTGCAGAAGTTAGGTCAATGAAAAATCTGAGACCTATTAGTCTATGCCAAGTAGTTTACAAGATCATAGCAAAAATTCTGGCTAATAGACTAAGCCGGGTCCTCCCCAGTGTTATATGTCAAACCCAGAATGGTTTCATCAAAGGGCGCCAAATCTCAGATAATATTCTAATTAGCCATGAGATTTCTCACCATCTTCGAACTCTGACCTCTGGTCAAAAAACATGGATGGCACTAAAGCTAGATGTTACACCCTGATATTTGGGTTCAGGTTCAACCTTAATGCAAGAACGATTGGGTTGATGATTACGTACGAAGGGTGACAACAACGGATTAAAATTAATAATAATAATTATTATATTATTTTTATTGTTATTGTTATTAAAAAAAAGGGGGGAAAGGAATCCCCTCCCCACCCGTTACATACCTGATACCCATCAAATTCCCCCTCCCCAGACCCATTAATCCCATTAATTTCCCCAGACGTTCCTCTTCTTCCCTTTTAATCAGAAGAGCATCAACGTAAAGGGAATTGGAAAAGAAACCCCCAGCCACCCTCGAGCAGTATCCAGCGCCACAGCAGCAGTGCGCTTGCGTCCTCCGCGACAGTAGTCCGCACAGTGGCGGCGCACACCACCGCTTCCCGGAGCCTCCCATCATCGTCTCTGCCCCTCTCTCGTAAAGGTCGGAACTAAGGAGGTGAGAGAGGTTGAGAGGTCGGGTGGCAGCAGGAAATACCGAGGCGATTTACGGTTGATACGGTGGAGAAGAGAGCGAGTTGCCGGGGGATTTCATGGAGTCGTCAGGAGGTAAGGGAACCAACCGGAGTAAATATTATGTACATTTGAAGGGTAACGACTGCATA